TGATACAAATGATGATAAAAATCATAAAGTTTAACAAATTATGCATGCATGTGAATTTTGATGCTCAATTCTTCATGATCATGCACATTCATGGTGATTCTTTACATGCATGCAGATGTTAACTTCAATTTCATCAAATACTACTCAAATTTGCTCTTGATCATCAATTCTCTCGGAATTCACATAATTACAAGTTTAAACTCATGAATTTGAGCTCAATTATTCACCTAGGAGCTTCAACTCTTCCTATTATAGCCAATTCTTGAGCTAATCCTCCTAATCTCTTGAATTCTCTTGCAAATTTCCAAGGTTGAGCCCCATTTCTCACTAATTCGGTTCACTCTCTCCCTCTAGGGTGTATCTTCAAATTCTTTGAGCTTATCCAATGTGAATTAGGCCCTTAATTAGTGCATATATAGGCTTTACTAATCATGTTGACTAATTAAGGCTTAGGCCTAATCAAATGAACATAATTAAATCAGATTAATCTAATTATTTTGATCCGAATCAATTTTTAATTAAATCTCACTGTAGGCTCTAAAAATCATGGTGAATGCAAAAACAAAGTCAATTTCAGTTTCTGTCGCCTCTGCGACCTTCAATTTAAATTTTATAACAAGAAGTCAAACAGATTTTCCTACGGTGAACAGATATAAATTCACAAACACATATAATCATAAAATTAGCATACAAAATCATATCAAGCTCATAATTATAAGCATAATTAAGATTAATTAACATAATCCAGAGTTGGGTTGTTAGATAGGGTTTTTTTGTTTTTTTGAATTTGAGATGTGTACTAACTGGTGTGGGACTAAGGGCAAAAATGAAACGTTGTGGTGTAGGTTGAGAAAATTATGTTTTTTTTTAAATTATTAAAGGTGTGAACTGAGTAGTGGTAGACCTTGAGACCTAATATGGTGTGTAAATAGAGGCACCCATAATTATGGGTTGGATGTGATGTTTTGTTTTATTGTGCTAAAAGCCTATTTTGTCTTTTTATGATTAAAATAGCCAAAAAGTTAAAAAGCCTAATATGTCAAACGAAGGCAAAAACTAGCATGTTTGGAATGACTTTTTAATTTTTTACGAAAAGATGTACAAAAAGTAGATAGAAAAAAGAATTTTTGACTTTTTGATATAAATTATAGGTTTTTTAGTTTTTTAATAATTTTTTGACTTTTTTATTAAAACATTCACATGCCAAACGAGGCCTAGTATTATAAATAGTCAAACAAATTTAAATAGTAACAATAACTCTATTTTTATTAAAAATTCCTAATAGGTATATTACCCAAAAAAAAAAAAATTTGAAATATGGGATGTTCAGCTATATTTTTGGACGTATTTATGCCCTTTTAACCACCCCGCCGAACAAATAAAAAATAAAAATAAATAAATAAATTAGGTTTGACCCTAATAACAAAATAAATCTTAAATTTTTAATTTTTTTAATTTGAACCATAAATTTTAATTTATTTTTAATCTAAATCATTTATCTATTTTTGTCACATTAAAACAACGAAAAAAATAATATTTTAGTCATTAAACTCAATGTAAGTATATATAAAATGTCTGAAATATCTAGTTTCATTGAGGTTAAGACTAAAATGCCTATTTTTTATTGATTTTACTTAACGAAAATAGATAAATAGTTCAGATTGAAAATAAATCAAAAATTCAGGATTTAAATTGACAAAATTAAAGACTTAAGATTTATTTTGTTACAATGGTCAAACCTTGAGTTTTTTTCTTTTCTTTTCTTTTTGCAATTTTTCCTTTTGTATTATTTAAAAAAATATATTTTGATATGTAGGTGTAAATAATAAATTGATAGTATATTTAGAAGTCCCCCTAACAAGTTTAGTGTAGCAAAAACGTTTTGAATGATAGGGTATTGTTTGATAACGTTTACGTTTTTGTTTATGTTTAAAAAAAAATTTATAAATTAGTTTTTGTTTATTTTAAGAAAAATATAAACTACAAAAGCGTTTGGTTTGAACAAAATGTTTGAAAAATTAAAAAAACATAAACTAAAAAATATATTTGTTCAGGCCTAAAATATTTATATTTATTTTTTATTATTTATGACAATAGGAACGGACACATTATAATTGGAAAAAAAATATTCGAAAAAAAATTTATTGAAAAAAAATTTTATTAGTTAAATTTTTAAATTTCTGTTTAAAAACCAACATATACGTTTTTTTCTTAAATTTATAAACTGAAATAACCATTTATAATTAAAAAAAATTATCAAATAAATTTTTATGACAACTTTTTAAATTTTTATAAATATAAACTAAAAATGAAATAGTTATCAAACAAACCCATCTAACTGTTTGGACTTTAATGGAATGATTTTAGAATTTATCAATAAGGTAAGAATAAGTTTGAAGGGAAAACAAGAAGACAAAATTCAGGGTCAACGTGGGTAGAGGAACGGGTAGGGCCTTTTTCCAAATTAAGGTCAAGTTTGGCTACAAAGAAAAAAGTGCACTTATTTCATCTTTTTATCTTTTTTGGGTCACATCAATCAACATCTCTTCTCTATTTTTTCTACACATAATACAAAAAAAGTCAAAAAGTGCACTTATTTAGTCTTTCCAAACTAGGCCTAAAATAGTAACTTATTTTTTAAATTAGGTCTAGTTTAAACGGAATTCTCAAACTAGGTTAAAACGTTATTACAAATCACGCTTTTACCGTTTTTAGAACTTTTCTGCGAAAAATTGTTGAAATGGTAAAAACGTGGTTACAAACCACGCTTTTAATTAAGAAAGCGTGATTACAAACCACGCTTTTAAAGAATTTTTTTTTTCTTCATAAAACGTAGAAATTTTTTTGACAAAACGTGGTTTTGAACCACGCTTTCAATATCAGACACATCACACATTCACTCCACGCACTCTCTTCTCTCTCTCTCTCTCACACACAAACATTCATCTCTTTTACACACAGACACCAAACCAATATAATTTTTAATATATATAAATTTTATTTTATAAAATTAAGACCAATATTAAATATATATAATAATAATTTATAATAGCAAATAATAATCAACTATATGAAATTAAGACCAATATTTTCAAATAATTTTTTTTCAATTAATTTTTTTTAAATTAAATTTTTTTCAATTATTTTTTAATATTTTTTTCAATAATTATAATGATGTGTGATCCATTGTATAAATAATAAAAATAAATATAAAATTTTAGGCCTGAAATAAAAATAAATATTTTTATTTTATGTTTTTTTAAAAAAAATTTAAAAACATAAAATAAAAAATATGTTTATTCAGGCCTAAAATATTTATATTTATTTTTATTATTTATGACAATGGGATCACACATATTATAATTGAAAAAAAAATTAAAAAAATAATTAAAAAAATTTAATTTAAAAAAAAATATTTGAAAAAAAATTTAATTGGGAAAAAAAATATTTGAAAAAAATTTAATTGAAATAAAAGATTAATTAAAAAAATATTTGAAAAAAATTATTTGAAAATATTGGTCTTAAAAAAATTATTTGAAAATATTGGTCTTAATTTCATATAGTTGATTATTATTTGCTATTATAAATTATTATTATATATATTTAATATTGGTCTTAATTTTATAAAATAAAATTTATATATATTAAAAATTATATTGGTTTGGTGTGTGTGTGTGAGAGAGAGAGAGAGAGAGAGAAGAGTGAGTGCGTGGAGTGAGTATGTGATGTGTTTGATATTGAAAGCGTGGTTTGAAACCACGTTTTCTTAAAAAAAATTCTAAAGTGTGGTTTGAAATCACGTTTTATGAAAAAAAAAAAAAAAATTCTTAAAAGCGTGGTTTGTAACCATGTTTTCTTAATTAAAACCACGCTTTTACCATTTCACAAATTTTCCGCGAGAGGGTCTTAAAAACGGTGAAAGCGTGGTTTGTAATAGCGTTTTAGGCTAGTTTGAGAATTCCGTCCAAACTAGGCCTAGTTTGGGAGATAAGTTGCTATTTTGGCTTAATTTGAGAAAAGCCCCGAAAGGATAACCTAACTAGCCTCGACTAAATAATATTACAAAAATATTGATGATTTTTTTTATACATATTTTCTATTAATATCTAATCATATAACATGATTTTTATAGTTTAATTTTGTTCTATTTTGCATTATCTGGATGTCACACTTCCCTTCATTTGCTCTACAATCTTATTACATATCAGTGTCAAACAATGTCGATCAACTATTTAAATTGTACAATTTGACTCTTATAAATTAAATTTGAAAAATGTAAATTATAAAACTAAATGAGTTGGGGGTAACGCATAACAAGACAGTATGAGAGCAATAATTGAGGATGGGAATGGAGTAGGGTCTTCGCGAATCTATTTCCACACACGTTGTCAATTGGTGAGAGTCCCTTGGGTCACTAGTAGATGTGAGTTTTTTTTTTTTTTTGTTTGGAGGAATACTAGAAGTTGAGTTTGATTCTTCTTTAATGTTAAAATCTTTTTCTCTTTTATTTATTTGGGATCCCTTGCATTTTTTATTTTATTTTATACATTAATGTCAATTTGATGTTCTTCTGATGAATCTCTTGCCATGACCAAATTTTCTTTTGTCACTGTTAAATTGCTGTCCAAATTAATCTGAGCTTATCCAGTTGTATATGCATGACTTTGGACATTGAACAAAGTTGTTGTTGTATTTTTTTTTCTTTGTTGGTGTTTTTGTTTTTTGTTTTGGTTATTATTATTATTTTTTTGTCTATTATTAGTCCCTCACAAAGACAATGTAAGAAATTAAAAATGAAATATGATATCAGATTTTATTATATTAATCTTTTAGACTGTATTTGATTCATAAATTTGACGAAATTTTCATTTTCCAATCCCTCTCCAAATTAATGAATCAGACACAGACTTTGTCTCTCACAAAGGAAAAAATTGTTTTTAACTGTATAAGTTGCATGGTCAAAGAAAATCTGAAACTGAAAACTAGCATCTGGACAATCCTTGAAACTGAAAATATGGTCTAAATTCTGATGATGTAAAAAACAAACCAAAACGAAGAGCATGATGTAATACATCAACACATTACAACATAGATAACTTTTGATCTTATTAGCAAATTCCACATACCCTGACCTCAAAACACAAAAACAAAAAAACAAAAAACAAAACATAAATCCACATCCCCGTGCGGATAAATTTGAGTTTTAGATTAGAGATATTGATTAGGGCATCAAGCCACTTATTTAATACATAGTTATGAACAGCTGCTGCATGTTCACTGCTGAGCCTGCAAGTGAAGATATATATATTGAAGTGTTAGCATTTTATTTGATTTTTTATTTTTTATTTTTATTTTTTTCACCATCAAAGCATATCCGAGTGCCATTGGATTTTTATTTGAAGGCATGAGGGGATTACCAGAAAACGTTTCGTGTAGAATTCAACAAGCACTTTTGGTTCACATTTTGTCTGTGGATAAGCGTCGATCTTGTTCAGCTCCTGCACATAGATCCGATAATAAGAGATACCATCATTCAAGATATATACAAGAATGAGTCTAGTTCATTGACTCACTTCAATCCATGCTGCTAGTTTTGGTCTTCCTGATGTGATGTCATACTTAAAGGCATCTTCAAAGAAGATTTGAAACCTTTCAATGAACGGAGCATAGGCAATGTCCACCTGTAGATCACAAATTTTTACTCATGAATTAGAGGAGGATTTCAAATTAGCCACATGACTGCATCGGTATTGTTGTTTTTTAAAACAAGTTAAACATATGCTCTCTAAAAATATCATCCACGTCCCATGAAGAAATGAATGCTTGAGAGAACTGAGGATAACTGACAGATCATGGACAAGGCATACCAGACTGAATTGGCCAAGGAAGAAAGGCCCATCGTCGAATTTGTGAAGCGCAGTTTCTAAGTAATCAAAAGCACCACCTAATGTAGAAGTTACTGATGTCAGTTAGGTTTCACTACAAGTAGTATCATGTATCAAAATGCAGCAAGTACAGAATCTCACCAGCTTCTTTTACCGTGTCTCCTTTAAATGAGGTATATACGGTTTTGTTAAATGTGTCAGAGTAGGATAACAACTCTTCAGCAAACTGTTGTTTGGCAGGATCCTAAAATATTTTTCACACCATTACTCATCAATTTTTTTCAACATGAAGAAAAAAGGTGAGGGGGGAATACAAACATCTTCACATCTTACATTGGGTAGAAGTGCAGGCCCTTCAAAGTGGTTTTCTATATATTCAAGTAAATCTAGACTCTCTCCAATGACTTTGTTGTTGTGTTCCAGTGATGGCACCTACAAAATCAAAGGAAAACCACATTAGCAAACAAGAAAGACTACTATTTATCAAGTTGGTAATATGCTTATAGGCTATAGGTCTGAAGAATGATTTCAGACTGTTTCATTAATGTACAAAAGGTATTCTCACATGATGTTTTAAAAGGCATTCTCACAAACAATTTTACTAAACAGAATAGATCAATGTCACAGCTTGATTCATGTTAAATGCAGCTGAAAGTCAGACAATACTGGAGACTTTGTTGTTGTTATAGTTTTCGTTCTTAATATTGTATGACACTTATTGTTCTTCTTGTTATTATTGTTTATTTGCATGTATCACATTCATTAAGTCTCATACTCCTGATAAATTATGGTAAAAAAAAATCAGAAACCACCCCATATAATTATAGAATAACAACAATAATTTCTTAAAAATAAAAGTGGGACAAAAGTTTCAACTTCAAATTATTTTGAGTTGCTTTCCTTTTATATTCCTACGGAAGAAAATGAATCAAATGGCGAATTTTAATAGCTAGAGACAAGCTAGTTGTTCAACCAAAGAAGATGGTTGAAAGGGCTTTGACAAGATGGAGGAGATAGTTGTGCTCATGTACAAGGGGCGGAATCATCTCCTCCAAAGGAGGTAAATGAGAAAGTTTTTCCAAATGGGGTGATGGGGAACATTTAGAGCATACTACACAAATTAGTAACATAGCACACAGCATCTTGAAGACAGAGAATGGTTAAATAATTTTTTTTTTCAAAAACAGTAACAGAATAAAGCAGTCACAAAATTCATAGTATAAGAACATACACTTCTTGTTGATAAATGTTAAGTACCATCAGAAAGAAAACCAAAAAAAAAAAAGACAAGTCGGGAAAGTCAATATACTCCTTTTCAACAGGCCTCACAGAAGCCTGCTTCGTTACATCTATTAGCATTAAGAATAAGAGTTCTTTATCCTTTTAATATCCAGATAAGTAGAAAATTATTTCCTCAATCATATAAAATTATTCATATGATCATCAATTGGTATCAACAAATATGAGGCATTGGTGATCAAAGAACTCCATGGAAGTACTTGATTAAGGTAACCAAAAATGATCAACACAATTATATTGTTTTTAGAGCAGATTACCTTATTTTCAGGGTAAACTTTTTCCTTGTACCAGGTGGGCCTGTTTTGAAGGTCAATAGGAACCAATTCGATCTTGTCTTGTAGACCCTGCATCTCAAATTTCATAGAAAAATAAGCCACACAAACAAAGAGAATAAAATCATAATGCAGATAATGAACAAATTAAATTACACCTATTGTAAGAGGGGAAATTCCAAAGGGGTGTGTACCCTAGTTACGACCTTTGTAATCTTTGGTTATGATCTATTGAGGTTGTAGTTATGACGTGGTTATACACATTATGGTGTTAGTTATGACTCATTGTGATGTTGATTATGACATTATTCTGGTTTAATCCAAGAGTTCTTTAGTTATTCTTTATGTAGTATTTGGTTATAACTTCTTTTTTTTAAGTTACGATTCCTATAGGATTGAGTTATGACATTTGCGGTAATCAACCCCACAAATGTCATGACTTGCATATGGTATAGCGTTACCCTAAGAATTACTACTATAATACCCATCGTTTATCTTTTGTCAAGTCTGCTATTGGACTGAACATCTCCCCCCTGCCCCACTCTTCCCCCAAAACTAGTCCTGTATGCCAAAAATCAAGATTAAACTCAGTTTACTATAGTGATTTTGTTGATTGGGCACCTCTTCATATTCAATAAAATGTGGAAGTGACAAGCAGGATAAAGGGATAAAATCCAACAGCAAACTTGGCAAAATACAAAGTTCTACAAAAGGTTATTAAGATATCTAAGGTGAAAATGTAAATTCATCCCGACTCCATGTATATACACACAACAACTAATCATTCATGACATGAAGTTTTTTTCTTTAATAGTCAATGGGATTCAAACATTGGTGTCCGCTTCACTATAGCTCTCATGTTACCACTAGGTCAGCCACTAGCTTTTTTTTCATTTTTTTTTTTTTTGGGGGCACTCGGTAGGATGATAGCAGATTAGTAAGTTTGGTTTTCACAACCAGATGTTTGACGTTTCTGGCAGGCTCAAACCCACAACCTCCCTCTACAAACCTAGAAATACAATCACTTAACGTTATGTTTGATTGGATAATTTGGAAAGGAATTTGGAAAGAGAAAGGAAAAAAGTAGGTGAAATATGATTAAAATATACTTACATTTCACCTAGTTTCACATGCTGATTCCTTTTCCTTTTCAACTCTCTTTTTAAATCCCAACCAAACATAGCGTAAAGCCATGTTCAAGTTCAAGACACCAGTTTTGCATAACATAAAGTCTATACTCTTTACTCGTACAGCATATCAGACAATTACAAAAATGATAAGCAAAGCATGAAAAAACTTAATAACCAAGAAAGAGACTAAATGGGTGTTGAAGAGAAGTTAAAAAAAAAGAAGACAGACCTTATAGTTCCTGGCAATCCAAGTCCTCTGTGCAAAGGGGCACATGTAACAGATATACAACCTCCAAAAAAAAAAAATTTCAAATTGTGAGATGATCATCCAAAAAAAATTCAAATCCAAATTCGTTGAAACAAGAACTTGTGTATAAAACCCAAACGGTACAAAACCCCAATTCCAATATACCTAGTAGTTCCATCAAAGAGGGGAGGTGGTTTGGATGTAGAATCGAGAGCTGGGGGAAGAACCTCTTTCACAAAACTGAAAAATTCGAAACACAAAAAAAAAAATTAAATCAGAAAATTCAAACAAAACATTCACAGAATCAGACTGTTCGAACAATAAAATATATGCATTATAGAATCATAGGAGTAAGGTTGTTAAAGTCGGGATCGTTGGAAGGGACTCTTGAATTCGTTATGGGATCGTAGAATCAAATCGTAACACAAAATAAAATGAAAAATTATGGATAATAATAATAATACAGCAATGATAGAGGAGCTGAATTTTCCAAACTTGAATGGCCCGAATCGACCAAAACGACGTTTTGGACAAAACAACACAAAATGATGTCGTTTTTGTCAATTCAAACTATTTAACCCGCAAATATGGTGATCACCAAACATTTTTCATAATAATAATAATAATGATGTATGTTACATAATTTTTAAAAAACTAAAAAAATATAATTTTAACATAATGTGCTTCCTATGTTAATATAAGTTGAAATGATGAATTTAATATAGGGGTAATTTGAAAAATTGATAAAAAATTAATTTTTTAATTTTTTTTTATAAAAAAATAAAAACAAAATTTAAATTAATTTTTTTATCTATAAGTTGAAAGAGGCCATTAAAAAATGAGTTTATAGTCAAAGTTTTATATATATATAAGAAATAAATAATATAAAATAAATATAAGATCAGAATTACATAGAATCGGGATTGAATGTGATTTTACACTATATTAAAAATACAATGGTAATAATTTAAGATTTATTCAAACTATAAGTAAAATCGTAAAATTTATGATCTAAATCATTTAATCTATAAGTAAAATCATAAAATTTATGATCCGGATCGAAATTCTGACCACCATTGATCAGAGAGAAAAGAGCTTACGCAGTGGCCATTTGTGGTGATTGTTGAGCGATTTGGAGTTGGAAGCTTTCCAAAACAGTGAGAGAGTAGTTTGTGCAAAGGAGAGTCCAAAGCCTATATTTATTGGGTGACAGGTCGATCGTGCGAAGTCGCGAGCAGTGACGAAATGGAGGAGGAAATTGTCTGAAAGATTTGTGTGATTTCGTCAGTAATGACGAGAAAATTTCTATACTGAAAGAGGAACGATTTTTCATCCAGGTTCATCTTTGTCTCTACCCCATTCTTGCGCCGACGCATCCGACAACTAAAATATTGGCCATGGTCGGAAAGATAGCTATTTTAGTAAGTTATTTTAATTTTTGACTATTTTAATAAGTTAAAATTTTTATATTTAATAAAAATTTTAAATTTTTTTATAATTAAATGTGATATTTGTGAAAAAAAAATGAAATGATTATAAATTTGTTGGCTAAAATGTTGGCTTATTTTTCCTACGAAGGAAAATATCATAAATGCGAGCGTGCCAGCAAGGATTGAAAAATCCTTACAGATTAAATTCAAGCCAATTATCAAGCGATTGTGTTGACGGTTCTTTATGATTATGAATTTAATGTGAAATTTTATTTTATTAATTATTTTAGCCTATTTTATTTTTTTTTGTCAATTTTTACCTAAAAATCCAATTTTAACCTTTGCCAAACAAGAGGAAACACCAACAGCAACCAACAAAATAAATAAAAATTGACCCTCTAACAAGATAAATTTTAAGTTTACATTTTAGGGTTGAATTTCTTTTAGGGTAAATTATAAATACACCATATTAGTTTTTGTAATTTTAAGAATTATAAATACTTTTTATTTTAATTTTTTATTTAACAAAATTAATAGAAAAAATAAAATTCTTAACTGCTCTTCTATACAATAATAAAGTTACTTCAATTGTTAATTAAAATATATTTATGATATTATTAAAAACATTAATTGACTTAATACAACAACAACCAACAAAATAAATAAAAATTGACCCTCTAACAAGATAAATTTTAAGTTTACATTTTAGGGTTGAATTTCTTTTAGGGTAAATTATAAATACACCATATTAGTTTTTGTGATTTTAAGAATTATAAATACTTTTTATTTTAATTTTTTATTTAACAAAATTAATAGAAAAAATAAAATTCTTAACTGCTCTTCTATACAATAATAAAGTTACTTCAATTGTTAATTAAAATATATTTATAATATTATTAAGAACATTAATTCACTTAATGATTTATTAATATAAGGAGTTATTTGTTATGTAATTAAAAACTTAAAGACACAAGATATAATTTGAAAATCACGGGAAACAATTCGTATTTTAAACAAATCTTAGAAAGTGTATTTGTAATTTACCTTTTCTTTTAATTTCAAATATGAACTTGACCATTATGTTAAGGTATGTGACGCCACCACAGATCCCGTTTCGATAATCTGAATAATTTATTTTGTAGGAATATCACTCATGAAATATTTTTAGATCCATCTAAGAATTATAACATTTTTCATTTTGTACGATTTATCTCTAAAAAAATATATGGTCTATTTTAGGAAATATATGGTTTGTCTGTGTCCAAACCTCCACCTTATGTCACATTTCCCTTACCCTCATTCTTCTATTTAAAAAAAATATATTAATTAAATGAGAGGGGTGAGACTCAAACCTTAGACCTTAAATTTGTTGGAACAATATTCTGTGTAAAATAAATAATGAAACAAATCAAACAAATAAAATAAATTATTTACCGAATTTATTTTACCGAACCGAATAAATATTTAAAAGATCAAGTTGAATGTGTGACACTCTATCCTTAAGATAGATTCGTCCCGCTACGGTACTTACGGACAAATGGCGTCTATTTCTCAGGATATAATGATATTCACAAATTGTAGTAGCACTTCAAATAATTTGTATGGCGAACAAAACCTGTGATCTATACTCTCAAAGTATTCTCTAAAATTTAATATGAAGAATTATACAAAGAAAGAGCAAAATAGAAAAGGAACAGATTTTTTCTAGATGTTTTTCAAATTGTTTTCGTTTGCCAAAGACTGCTGGAAATGGCCTCTATTTATAGGCAAACAATCTGCCCGAACAGGTATGTTTTTGAACTTGAACAGGTGCAAAACCCTTGAACATGTTCAAATTTGAAAACTGGACAGATTTGGTAACTGCTGCAGTTATACAACTGTTCTGAATTTGTCCAGCAGTTTCTGTAATAAAACTGTCTGAATCTGTCCGGCAGTTTTCTGTTGGGAATTCAGACTGAAGAAGGTAAAATTTGAACATAAAATTAAATTCAATTTTGGCACAAAATTAGAATTTAATTTCATTAAGAATTTCTGGAAAAATTTAAATAATTTTTTGTCCAAAAAATTAATATTTGAACTGACCCAACCCGCAACCGCGCATGGTGGTTTGAGCCAAGGTTCCATTTGTCCATAACTCCTCTCTTCTACAAACTTGGGGTGTCCCTTGGGGCCCTACCCAAGTGTTGTCACCTAGAACTTATATACAGACATAAGTGCTCTTCAAGTTTCAATGTGGGACAAGTCTTTCAAGGAAACGCACATTTAATTATTTAATTGTCCATTCCACGAACCCGAAAACGACGTCAATCTCTCATTCACTCATAAATGGTTTTGATGAACCATTTTCACCGTGTGATACCATGCGGTAAGGAACACGTCACCTCTTTGGACCCACCTCAAAAGACGTGTGAAATCCACTCAATTTTGGGCTCAAAATTGGCCCAAAATAAGCCTATAAAAATCAATTTTCCAACAAAATTTAGTAAAGACTCTTACCACTTAATAACACACATGAAACAATTGCACGCCGTGGTTTATCACTTTTACGACTTACTTTTTTTGCATGTCATAAATAATTTTTCAACCATGGCGTGTCTATTGCGTGGGTCGTGAATGGTAGTAACGATGATTTTTTACGGCTTGCAATGTTTGTTGTAAATAGTAAAACTTTCTACGATATGCATATGGCATGCCATTAATACATCAACTATACACGACACACATACGCCGGCCGTGAAATTTATTGCACTTCTCACAACGTACACAACGTCCGCCGTTAAAAGTATTGCACTTTTGACTGACGCACACATCGCCTGTCGTTAAAAGTATTACCTTTTTACGACACATAATGCACGTCGTGAAAGGTACGACCAAAAAACAATAGTACCAAAATGAAATTTTCTGGCGCCAATTCACCAAAAGATTAAAAAAAGAAGAAGATAATAATCAAAACCCCCAACTCTCAGCCCTAACACACAAAATCAACCCTGAGTTGGACTCAAAACTATGCAATTGCAAGTCAGTACCAACCTTGGCTTTAAGCTTTAATCCAACCTTCAAAACCCACTACGAATCTCCACTTTCTTCATCATTATCCTCGTTGTCAAGACTGGTTCTCAAGACTGATCTCTCCCAAATCAGCTTTTTTCTCTCCTCTTGCGATCCCTAGCTTCACATCCTCGAACAGATCATCGAGGGTGATCTCAAATGCCCTCTCAAATCCAATTTCATTAAACTCGTCTTCACCTTCGACAAATTCCAAACCTTCGATTTTTACTTCTCCAAAATTAGTCTCACCAATCCCAGTCTATTAACTCTTATCTTCGGCAATTGCGGCCCTGATCTCGAAATCTCCATGAATGTTCGATCTGAAATGCACCACATCGACTCCAAATCCAATCGTCGCGACTACTTGTCCGCTAGTAAAACTAATCTCCCTTTGATTTACTTCTTCTTCTTCTTGATTTACACTTCTATGGCTGGAATTTGGACTTACATTCTCTATATTAAATGATTGTCTGCTTATCATATCCATTTCTTCATGCTCTCTATCTTGATTTTGAAAGCTTTAAATTTCTTGTGTGAAATTGAGGAATTTGACAAATCTATAATCTCCAAAACCCTAGTTCAATTTCATTTTTTTGCGATTATTAGTTGTTTGAATGTGAATTTTGATCTCATGACAGGTTGAGAACTTGAAAGCTCTGCTTGAGGTCGAGGTAAGATCAATTTCTCGCTTTGTATATGCATGTGTGTGTGTGCGCGCGCGCGTCGATTCAGCAACAATGGCTGCTTTATAATGGGAAGGAGATGAGGAATGCTGAGAAATTGAGTGGTCTTAGTGTGAATGATGGAGATTTAGTGATGATAGTTTCACATGCTTCTTCTTCTAGGTAATTCTATTACATTCTTTTATGGGTTTGTATTTTGTGCAAGTTATGAGACAAGCTTTGAATTGTAAAAGAGCATAGCTTTATGGGTTTAGCAGGTTCTATGGATGTGTCCATGATTTGATGAGAAATGATAAGAAATGAAGCGAAAGAGAACTATCTTGTTTTGCAATTAGTTTCTAACTTAAAATAGTAAAATTTGGTGAGATACAAAATGAGTGGTAATGTATTTTTTATAATACCTACCGGGAATTTTCACAAAGGAAGAAAAATAAATTATACTTATATTTCTCTTTTACATGCTTTATGTTCATTTAACTGTTTGTGTACTTTCTGTCACTATCCTCTTATGATTTTGTGCATCTTATTGTGGTTTTTGTTTTATAATTGTGATTCAATTAAAGCCATGCTCTTACGATAATTGACATGCATATAAACATTGTGATAGTGCTCTTACCAATGACTTGGGCTTCAATCCAAATGGGTCATTGATAGAGCATATGGTTAAAAATGATATGAATTTACTTAATTTAATTGAGCATATAGTCATTGAAATAGCAGAGTTGAGAAAAAGATTCATGTGGCTGGCCCTAGTTTGGGATACAACACTTAGGAACTTTTGTTATTTCTTACCTATCAAACTACATGATCATCATTCAAAGCAACATTTTCATTTATTTAAGTTTAAATATTTCATATTCATAAGATATATTTAATATCCAAGTGTGTAAATATATATATTTTTTAAGTAATTTAGAAAAAATGACCGAATCTTTACAATTCACGATTCAATTCAATTCGCGATTCGGTACAAGGCCATTTCGATTCACGATTCGAATCCCAATTTGACAACTATGATTATAATACACAAAAATAAAGACTCAAAATTATTTCAAAACTTCAATCTTTGATGGTAAACATGCTTCGTATGAAATTTCAGATTTGCCCTGTTCCTTATTTGTTTGAGTTGGTATTGCTGACGAATCTTTTTTTAGGGTAGAATAATAGTGTTATAGCTTGTTCTTGTATAGGTAAATAGATATATAAGGTGTTTTTACAGCATATTTTGGAGGGAATTTCTTCAGTTAGTATAATGTTTACTGGGTTTTGTTGGTTTCGTTTTTTTATTTCTTTCTGTCTTATCTTTCTGGTGGCTTATGGCGCCTTGGTCTTCCTCCCCATTTTCTTCAATAACTACCTCTTATAATGAGGACAAAGAGCTGAAGCATTAACAGATGTAACTTGTTTTAATAATCTCTAAAATTTATGCTTTATGTCCTCTGGTTCTAGTTGGTTGTTTACACGGCTTCTCAATATTTTGACAAGCCTCTAACAAAACAATTTTGTTTTTAATTTATTGATCTCAGAGCTCAATTTTTTGTATTGGGCAGAAAGACAATGTTTCTAACCAGTGGAAACACATAGTTTTCTTCTTTGCAAATCAGCAAACTCGACTTGGGATTCCTAATAAGCTTGAACCGATATGCCTTAGATGCCATTCTTAAATTATTAAATTAAATTTCAATTTGCGTAGTTATGATCATCACTTTTTCCATTGAATTTGTAAGTTAAACATGGTTTATAGTATGATGATGGAAGAAAGACTCTAGACATTTATTCCACCTTTATTCTCTTTGTTATTGATTTCATTCTATTAAGGCTGGAAATCATTCTGGGAACTGTGGAGCTACTATTATATTTAAAGAATGCACTTGCTGACCATATTTCGGATTTTTTGTATGCCTCTATATTTACTTTATGATTTTATTCCTACTTGTGTGCCAGGGTGTAGAAATCTTGCAATTATCAAGGCCTCATGCACTATCTAATGACTGGATTTACATATTAGAGTTGTCAAATAACTTACTTTGTTCTCCATTTTTTATTTTTTATTTTTCAAAATTTAATGTGGTGAGACCCAAGTGCCCCTTCTCTTAGACTTCCCAGTATGCGATATTGTATTGCTAAATACGCAATGTGGGTGTTTGTGAAAATGTCTCATTGAATGGATTTTGGGCATTTTATTGTCATTGATTTATTTCTTTGTGTTGTGATTAGGTAGAGGAATCAAAGTTTGTGATTGAAGCCAAGACAATCCAGAGAATGGAGCTTCTTGGCCTGGGTGTTGGAAAGTATAGGTTAATCATGTCAAAATCAATGTGCCTTTTGTTTAGAAACTTATATATGACATAGTTTTTGGACAGGTTAGAACTTTTTGAACAATTAAAATTTAAGGATAGTTCTTTTTAGATAGTTTTGAATTAAGGTTAGTTTTTGAATGTTTGGAATGTATATATTGACAATTTTTTAATGTTCATAATTTATGGATATAGTTTATTTGTTATGCTTGAAATAATATTTTGGTAATTGATTGATATTTTATGAAGCTTGTTTGTAATGTTTGTTACATTGTACAAACAGGTCAAAATAGAACTTGCTAATTTTTTTTTTATTATAAATAATGCACATTCTACAGCAAGCAAATTAGGCCATTATATGACATATTCCACAGCATTCTACAAACACCGTGGTATGTTCACAATTAACGGCGTGCAAAAGTCGTCGTGGAAAAAGTAAAAACGGCGCGCAAGATCTGATGGCGTACTATAGCATGTCGTTGAAAGTGAATAACTTTTCATGACTAGTTATAATATAACATTACGTTGCATGTCATAGAGGGATTTTTATGACGTGTAATGCGGGTCGTAAAAATCTTTTTTTTTGTTGTGATGTCTTATCAAATGACTTAACATGAATTAGGATGGCAGCATGTGGGCATAGATCAAGAGACTTACCTACTCCATTCTTGTCCTTAATTAATGATTACTCTAGTACGCACCTAATCATAACTCACGGGTAGCTTAATTAGATTTGTATGTGGCAATAGTAATAATGATTTATACCACTAAAAAGAATATTACTAATAGCACTAATATATTGGAAATACAAAAAAAAAAAAAAAAAAAAAAAAAAAAAAAAAAAAAAAACAAGATATAGACAGTGGGCGGAACTCACTGCCACATCATTAATAATACTATTAGAACATCACTTTTAGTGCTCTCAGTCACTTTTCGTGTCAATAGCTAGTACCAACTAAATGCAAGGGACTCTTATCAAATGACTTGACATGAATCTAGGATGACAACATGTGGGTGTAGATAGTTAATGATTCCTCTCGTACCTTCCTAATCCTAACTAACTGCTAGTTTAATTAGCTTTTTAATTTATATTTTCAACGTCGAATTTTAAGAATGTAACTCATAAGAGTCCAACTATACAAATTTAAATGTTAAACTAACATTATTTGACATTGATATGTAGTAGGAAATAAACGGAAAGAGAAGTGTGATATCCAAAGAATGTAGAATAGAAAATAATAAAATCATAAAAGATCATTTACATATATAAAAAATCATGTATATTTTTGAAATACTATTTAGTCATCGTGGGTCAAGTTACTTTCTATCTACCGCACTTGAACTTGGTTAGGCTCTTACTCTATTAAGAAACTCAAAACTCATTCCATTGACATTGGGATGGTTACGATACGTATCATTCATAACTTTTTTGCTGCCCTAAACTTGCTAGGGGAGCTTCTAAATGTGCCACTAATTTTTTAATTCACACCTACATATATAAAAGTATTTTTAATAATCAATATAACAAATGTAGAGAATTTTTTTTGTAACTGTGAGGATACAATTTTAATAAATGGTGTGATAAGATATGATTAGAAGAAATTTCTTTTAGGTTAGAATTTTTTTTTCTCTTTCACATTTTCATGGATTATCCTTTGATAAGGGTGGGTTTGGGTCGCACCATGCCACCTTGCATTTTTCAAATTGCGAGAAACAATTAAAGGTACATGTATGGGTTGTTTTGGATAAATTTTAAGGTGAAATATCAACATAATCGGTCTTGGTGAATTATGAATTTTATAAGCTATCAACCCATCTATTATTAAAATTGACAAGTTAATTGAATATTTGGACGATTTTAAACTCCTAGATTGTGTGTGTTAGAAGTACAGAACATGGGGTAACATCTGTGAGCATCACAATTTTAATTAAAAATATTATTTATCAAATGGGTATTTAAAATTTAAAATAAACTAATTATCATATATATTAAATATAAAATATATAAATAAAAATGAAGTCATATCCTTTGTTCAACCTATAATCGCCCCTGCTTTTTAGTCTATGAAGACTGAAAATATTTTAAAAATAAAAATGTAAAAAAAAAAAAAAAACAATCAAACAAAAGAAAAAGAAAGTTGTTTTAGGTCCCGTTTGGAAATAGGTTATTTTGGTTGTCTATTTTAACTTGGCCAACAAAGTTGTGTCTAGGATGATAGTTGATTTTTTATTTTTTATTTTTATAGTTGATTTAATGGTTGTGAGAGAAAAAGTGAAATGATTATGGATTAGATATAACATATTATCTTATTAGCTATTTTAACCTATTTTGTTTTTATTGAATATTTTAGCCAAGTAGCCTCTAGACAAACAAGGCCTTAGTGTTTAGTTATTTATATATATATATATATCTTTACTATTTTTTTTACTTTTATATTCTTCTAATCTAGCAAGATAATTTTAAAAAGAGAAAATTAGTCTAACATCCCTCTCTAACTTGGGATAGTATGAGAGATCCACAAAACTTATTTCTGTTAGACAAGGTCCCTCACATCCTTTTCTTTTATTTTATTTAAAAAAAATACCAACTTTACCATCACTCTACTCTCTTCTCTCTTCTTTCTCTACATATTTGGGTCTCTCTTCTCTCTCATCCATCTCTCTCATCTCTCTTTTCCCAAACCCTAAAACCCAAATCCATCATCTCCTCACTCTCTAACACTGCCACTTCTGTCTCCTTCTACTTCAGCGACCACTTCATCGTCGTCGTCGACTCCCATTTCGGCACTGTCTTTTTATTTTCTACTCTACTCTCTTTCTCTCTCTCTTCACAAATTTGGATCACTCCACCACCTCACAATTTTCTCTTCCCAAACCCTAGAACCCAAATCCACTATTTCCTCATTCTCCAACACCGCCACCTCCTTCTTCTCTGACAACTATTTCATCACTGTCGGCCTTGTTCATGTCTTCAATGCTAAGTTCCAAACCCTCTTCCACCGCCTTTGCTGCTATGTCTGCCCTATTTACCTTATCCACTGCCATGAGGATAAGTCTTTGATCTATTTGCTAAAGGATAAGGAGTAAGTGATCATAAACAACAATAAACTCATCAATTTGGAGGATTTGTCGAAATTTCTCTAGACCTATACCAGAAAAATTTCACTAGAACTATACCAAGTAATTTCTTTAGATCTATACCAGAAATTTCACTGTACCTATGCCAGAAATTTCTCTAAACTTTTTGTCACGACCTAAACCTGCCCCTATAGGTTTAGCATCGTAACCGGCCAGTAATCCGTAGATTACCGAAGGCCTCTTAAACATAAATCAAATTATTAGGGGCTAGCAGAAGCAAAATATAAACATAAATTGTCCATTAAGCTGTACAGACGTACATGAGACAGGAAATATTTAAACTTTTTTTATACATATATATTATTACATCATTCCTGCATCATCATATATACAAATGAGACAAAAGGGACTTAACCCTATATACAGAATAAACAAAAACTTAAACTTTAATCACATAGTCTTGTCCACTTGACATATTCGAAACCTCCACAGGAGGCACATAGGTTGGTTGACAAAAATAGATTCCAGACAAACGCCTCTAAGCCTAGTCACGCCCTTGATCACCTACATACATAAATAATACAGTGAGCTGGAGTCCAATGAATTACAACAGTGTAAAGGGGTAGTGACTAATGTCTTTTTAGTAATTTAAAACAGTCAATTTCATCAGTGAATCAATTTCTCAAATTAGTATCTCATAACATGTCAAATCATATTGAAATCGTAGCAATCATATGTAGTACATCCATTAGCAGAATAATACAGTATAGGGTTGTTCAAAAATTCGTTCAAACCGGTAATCCGAACCGAACTAGACCAAACCGTATGGTTCGATTCGGTTCTATTAAGAACCGATTTGGTTTCGGTCCAAGAAACATTGAGAACTGTAAAAACAGTTCGGTTAATGAATTTTATGAAAAAATCACAGTTCAAACCGAACCGAACCGAACCGAATATTAAAAGATATAAATAAATAAATATATATATATATATAATATTTAATATTTAATAAACAACAGCAGTTCTTGAACCATGCGTAAGTGTTAATTAATAAGATATATATATATAATATTTAATATTTAATAAACAACAGCAGTTCTTGAACCATGCGTAAGTGTTAATTAATAAGATATATATATATAATATTTAATATTTAATAAACAACAGCAGTTCTTGAACCATGCGTAAGTGTTAATTAATAAGATATATATATATAATATTTAATATTTAATAAACAACAGCAGTTCTTGAACCATGCGTAAGTGTTAATTAATAAGATATATATATATAATATTTAATATTTAATAAACAACAGCAGTTCTTGAACCATGCGTAAGTGTTAATTAATAAGATATATATATATAATATTTAATATTTAATAAACAACAGCAGTTCTTGAACCATGCGTAAGTGTTAATTAATAAGATATATATATATAATATTTAATATTTAATAAACAACAGCAGTTCTTGAACCATGCGTAAGTGTTAATTAATAAGATATATATATATAATATTTAATATTTAATAAACAACAGCAGTTCTTGAACCATGCGTAAGTGTTAATTAATAAGATATATATATATAATATTTAATATTTAATAAACAACAGCAGTTCTTGAACCATGCGTAAGTGTTAATTAATAAGATATATATATATAATATTTAATATTTAATAAACAACAGCAGTTCTTGAACCATGCGTAAGTGTTAATTAATAAGATATATATATATAATATTTAATATTTAATAAACAACAGCAGTTCTTGAACCATGCGTAAGTGTTAATTAATAAGATATATATATATAATATTTAATATTTAATAAACAACAGCAGTTCTTGAACCATGCGTAAGTGTTAATTAATAAGATATATATATATAATATTTAATATTATCATATCAAGTTTTATTTTTGATGATGCAGTTCGTCTTGGGTGGATGGGTCGGGCTGGTCCAAGCTCTTCAAGTTTCGATCCAGGCAGATGATTCCACCAGATGACCTGCAAGCAAATCTAAAGGGGAACGGGGTAGTCCCCCAGTGAACCCTCCGGCGAGCAAATCAGTAGAGGAAGAAGGAAAATGTAGAGAGAGAGAGAGATGATGTGAAATGGAAAGGACAGGGTAAGGGGAGGGGACAGTGCAT